GACAGTAGAAGATCCATATTTATAAATAATCTTGAATGTAAATGGATTATATTTTGCAAATCAAAAGACATGGAATGTCTGAATGGAATTTTTTTAAAAAAAGACTCAATTGTATGCTGCCTATATGAGACTCACTTGATTCATAAGAACACACAGAAGCAACAAAAGATATTTTATGCAAATGAAAACTAAGAGACAGTATAGGTAACTATACTTATAATAGATAGATTTTAAATATGAAAAAAATGAAAAATTAACTCAAAATTTCTTTATATAAGGATAAAGGCATCAATTCATAAAAAGGATATGACAATTATAAATATGTTCATGCACCTAACATCAGACCATCTAAATATATAAAGCAACTATGAATAGATCAGAAGGGAGTGATAGACCCTAATACAGTAATAGAATACTTCAATACCCCACTTTTGACAATAGATAGACTATCAAGGCAAAATTAATAAGCAAACATAGGATTTAAGCTACACTTTAGACCAAATGGACCTAATATACATATACAAAGCATCCATCCAACAGCAGCAGAATACATATTATTTTCAAGCACACATGAAATATTTTCCAAAACCAATAATATGTTAGGCCATAAAGTAAGATTTTTTGTTTTGTTTTGCTTTATTTTGCTTTGAGTCGGAGTCTCTCTCCATTGTCCAGTTTGGAGTGCAGTGGCATGATCACCACTCACCGCAGCCTCAACCTCCTGAACTCAGGCGATCCTCCCATCTCAGTCTCCTGAGAAGCTGGAACTATAGAAGTGTGTCACCATGCCCAAACAATTTTCTGAATTTTTTGTAGAGATGAGGTCTCACTATGTTGCTTAGGCTGGTCTCGAATTCCTGGACTCAAGCAGTCCTCCAGCCTAGGACTCCCAAAGTGGTGGGATTACAGGACTCAGCCACCATGCCTGGCCCCCACCACAAAGTAAGCCCTAATAATACTTTAATCTCTTTAAAGAAATTAAAATCATATCAGATATCTTTCCTGACAACAATAAAATAATACTAGAAGTCACAAATATATGGAAATTAAATAGCATGTCCCTGAACAACCAAAGATATAGTAAAAAAAAATTAAAGAGAAACAAAAATGTTTTGAGACAAATCAAAGTGGAGCCACAGCATACCAAAACGTGGGATGCAGCAAAAAGTAGTTATAAGAAGGAAGTTTACAGCAGTAAATACCTACATTAAAGAAGAAATATCCCAAATAAGCAACCTAACATTATACTTCAAGGAACTAGAAAAACAAAAATAAGCCTAAAGTTAACAGAAGAAAGAAAATAATAACGATTAGAACAGAAGTAAATGAAATATAAAAAAATACAAAAGATCAATAAAACAGTGAGTTTTTTTGGAAAGAAAATTGACAAGTCTTTATATAGACATAAAAATAAAAAAGAAAATACTCAAAAATGAAAAATAAAATATTTTTATTTTATTTTATTTTATTTTAAAGTGTCAACACAGAAATACAAAAGCTTATGAGAGGCCACTATGAATAATTATATGTCAACAATTTGAATACTTGTGAAGTGAATACATTTTTAAAAGCATGCAACTTAAGACTAAATCACAAAGAAATAGCAAATCTCAACAGAACACCAGGAGACTGAATCAGTAGTTAAAATTATTCTTCTAAAAGGTCCACAGTTCAGTGGCTTCACTGCTGGATTCTATGAATCATTTTTAAAAGAACTAATAACAATCTTTCTTAAACTCAAAAAGTTTAAGAAAAGGTAATATTTCCAAACACATTTAATGAGGCTAGCATTAACCAGATACCAAAGTCAAAAAAGGATACTACAGGAAAATAAAATGATAAGCCAATATACCTGGTAAGTATAGATATAAAACACTTCAACAGAATACTAGCAAACTGAATTCAACATATATATTTTTTTAATTATTCACCATGATCAAGTGGGGTGTATACAGTGGATCCAAGGATGTTTCAACATATGCAGATCAATATATCCAGATACATTTTACAGAATTAAGGGCAAAAACCATATAATTACCTCCATGTATATAGAAAAAGCATTTGCTAAAATTCAACTTCCTTTCATGATAAAAATTCTCAATAAGTTGAGAACAGAAGAAATGTATCTTAACACAATAGAGATCATACAGAACAAGCATATAGCTCAATGGATATACTCAATGAATGAAAAGCTTAAAGCTTTCCTTGTAAGATCAGGAACGAGACAAAGATGCCCTTGGATG